TCAATGCACTAGAGATGCGAAAAGGAACTAATCTTGGTATTATACATGCGACGGGATTCTTGTGATCACTAATGATCGCTAATACTCAGCGAGTCGGGACCCGTATGTTAACATTAGAGGATAGCAGTCTTGAGAGCCTGCAAGAAAAGAGAATATACAAACCCCCTAGCGAGATTTTGAACCTGCAGACAATCGAAGATTCTCCCCAAAACTTCCTTACTGGCATTTGCTCCCATAACGCTCGTAAGAGCCTGGGGTAAGCCTCGCTGAACGAAGACTTTGCGAGCCGTCTCCCTCAGCCGTTCTTTCTCAGCATCAGTGGATGGCGGCGGCCAGTTTTCTAACTCGCTTTCCGTTGGCAGAGCATTTTCACGTAACTTGTTGAGATATAGCCCAATTGCTTCATCTGACGTATGCGAATCAATCATCGATACCTGGAGCAGCTCACGGATCGTCTCCAAATGAGGATTTCCGGGGCGTAATATGTACGATTTTGCCGCATTAAGTAGAGTCCTGCGTATGTTCCATGCCGAAGACAAGGTGTATAGTTCATTGATTACCGCGAATATGAGCTCGACTGCTATGCGCGTCTCTTCATGCGTGATAGGATTGCCTCGACTTCTGTACTCGCTTAATCCAGCGTCTGGTGCTTGCCCTTCGCTGTTGGCGTGAGAATTATCTTGCGTCCCGCCAGGAGACCGGGGTAGGTCAGCCGAAGTATTGCGCCCGGTTGAAGGAGACAGTTGTGTAGAAGCCACAGTGCTTCCTACATCCGTCGTCTGAGCTGAGCTGTCGGGAAATCCTGCATAGTCCGTAGCCGTATCGGATTGATTTGGAAAAGCCTCTTCAGGAGGGGGAGCTGGCCTCCCAAATGTCTTGTCTCTGTGAGATCCGTCCGGTGGGGAAGCCGAGCCAATCCTCGCAGAATTCCGAAGTCTCCCCTGTGACCCCTGATCGATTGACCCATTATGGTTGACAGGATCTAGTGGCCTGGCTTTATCGCCTACCACTGAATCTGGCGATGGCTTTTTACTGCTGCCTCCACCAAACACCCCTGTCATGCCATCCAACATGGCTTTACCACTTCCCGAGACGCCCCTGGGTGCATTGGATAATACGCCCAACACTCCCTTTCCTACATTCTCGAGTGCAGATTGGCTTGGAAAGGGGAACCCAGTCCTGCCGTAAGGATTACTGAAGTCCGATCCAAGATGTTCATCCTTGCCAAGAAATCGTTTCATCTTTTCACTCTCTGCCAGAGATTCATGGTTAAGAGCATCTTGAAGATAACATTCCAAGTTCTTAGCCAATTCCAATGTTGTCTGGCCTTTCCACGAGGGTACAACTGGGTGATCGTCTGAGAACTTCCGTAGTTTGTGCAGTCTCGAGATAGCCTCCAAAGTTTGGTGAAGCGATTCGAAATCGGTATATTTTCGGAAAACCATCCATCCAGTAGACCGTGTCGATACAGGTTCAACTTGCAGTAAGTAGTCCGACGTTGGCTTTGAGCGGAGTGGGCCTTTCGAGGTGACCTTTGAAGCTTCGGTTTCTACCGTTATGGATGCACGATGAAGGATGGCTGGTTCCGGTAGCGAAGTAGGTGCGGTTGGACTCTTGGATTGCATGAGTGAAGGAGACGAGCTGTTATTTTCTTCCAGTTTGGAATCGATATTATTTTCAATATGCTTTGCTTGATCACGATCTGAGACTTTGCGTTGCAAAGCTCCGTCTCCGATCTCATCTGCAGGCAAGACTTCTCTATGATCAATCCTGTCATCCGATGCCACCTCCTGCACATAGTCTCCCAGTGCTCTCTCTGGGCTTTGCTTCTGCTGATCATGCGCTGTGATCATGTCACTGAGTCGCTTCGCCTCTCTTTTGGCTTCCACTGTTGCCCTGTCAACATTTGCCATTTCATGTTGTATTATATCCCCAGGGATATCGGAGTCTGGGCTCGTGTTGCTCGTTGTATCGGATGGAAGTTCATTTACGCTGTTGAGTTCTCTAGTTGCTGTCACAACTTGTTCCTGGGCCCCTTCCACACCGGCGTCTATTGCAGTCATTATTTCTGACTTGCCTTCACTAAAAAGATATATAATCCAGCCATTGATGATTTCTGGCCTCGAAAGACTCGATACGGTTGACTCAAATAGAACGCTCACGAACATCTCGCGCATGAAATTTCTGAGCAGCAGACACCCATAGACATTTGGGTCTAGAAATCTGGCCAAAATATCGTCCGCTATAATGTCGAGCTTCTTCTTCTGTTGGTCGTTGGCTAAGATATTCGCCAGGCCACTTTCAGGGGACGTCTCTATGTAGCGCAAGACTACCTCTTCCGGCGGTTTAGTGGAGCCAACGGACTCGAATGCTGCAGAAAGCTCATTCAAAAACACAATGATCAGTGAGGATGAGTTAGTGAGGAGTTCCAAAAAGGTGTCAGCAGAGCGTTTACGAGAGAGGTGCAATGACAAGGACGAGATAAACTCGGCCAACAACTTCCTGCATGCCAGATGAAATGTTGTCTCGGGCGGTAATATTGGACTAGACCAGGAGCTTTTCGAGGTCTGGTAAGCTCACGAAATAGCATTATAGGCGAGAGCTTACATCACATAGTCCTTCATAGCTGCATCGGTGATTGATCTCAGGGCATCCGCTGTCTTGGGGCCAAGAGCAGAATAATCAAGATCAGCAGAGGAAGAGTCCCCGAAGAGGAATACTTGCCCAGTGTCATCTTGTTCAGCATCGGCAGCCAAGGTCGTACTTTTCGGCCAATCGAGTAGTCTTCTGGTTATGTCCAGGGCGAGCTCCTTTCTCCTTCGCTGTCGGGGATTGGATAATGGATGAATAGGGTCTTCATAAACTGCCTCCCATTGTGCATGCAAGATAATACCACTAGCAATTCCGATCAAGAGCAAACCTAGTCTTCCAAAAAGTACGAGCGTCGCGACTACCAAGCATGCGAAGACACCCAGAAGAGTCTCACTATTAGCCGTTGAGAGAAATTGAAGCGTCGATTCAATGACTCCTTTTGATCGCACGGGGTCCAAACTCTCCGTCGCGGCCTGCTCGTTGTAGCTCGTCGGCAAACCAATGTTAGAAGTCTCAGCTAATTCGGGTTTCTTGGGCTGTGACTGTTCCGCCCAGTTGGAAGTCTCATCCATGGCGATTGGCTCTGTTAAATGATCGCATTGACCGTAACGCAGGTTTGCAGGTTTATTGAGGAGAATGAAAACCAAGATTTCGCGAATGATCAAGGCTGCGCGTCGTCAGGAAGCTCGGTTGTCCTTTAACATCTGGTTATCTGATCGGCATGTCCGCTTTGGTTACCTAATACAACCGGCCGGGGATCACGAGCTTGTATAGCTATGGAGTGCTACTACATACTTAGTTAGCACTTTTGCCTACCAAGTAGTAAAAGAACCACGAGTAATGTATATTCAGGATGTGCAAATCAGTTCAAATCTATTTGTACCAGTAACATCATGGGATAATCATATTTTCCAAATAGGTTTGTAATCGTCGACAAAGTCCGCCATATATAGTAGCTAAATGGGTAATGCGACCTGCGCATATCGGTCTAATATAGGAGCAGGATTAGTGGTACCAGTACTCCGTACGATGAACACAGTACACGAAGTCCCTGGCCCGTATTTGATGAGAACTTGCTATCAGAAACTTAACCAGCCGATGTCAACGCTGCGTATGAAATACTAGGATGTGGTGAGGCTTGAGTGTTTGCTCCTTGTTGGAGACGGCGTTAAGATACGTTTTGCGCACGGAAACCAAAACACAACATCTGGAGAGACGACACTCTGGTGGTGCCGTACTCCTGTCAACTATTGGGGCCCAGAATCCAAAAGAAGTTCAGGGCTTGGGATAAGTGATAAGCCTAATCATGCGTAGCGGTACCAAATTCTGTTCCAGTAACAAAACTGAAGGAAACTCTACTTGTAGTTGAATCGTGAAGATTATATTCATCTATATAGTGCTGTGTACCCATCCAAAATTACCTTGCATTACCAGTAAAAGACAAGGTATCTAAAGCAAATAAGGATGGACATTGCTATCCGCAATCCGAGTGAATCCAGCATTCAAAGTATATGCGTTTCATGCCAGATGCAAAGAAGACTGCGGTTTATATGGAAGTGCAGATACCACCGTGTTTTTCTCCCTGCTAGCCCGATCACAACTCATTCACAAGCCTGTCTGAAACCGTCATTGTGTCTTGATATATTTGGTATGAGATCCTTGTGCAACAACTGTACCCCCATTAGAGTCAGTCTGCTTCGAGATTGTCACAGTTGTAAAAGCAAGGTTTCGCCCGACTTTGTCGGCGCGACCTTCAATTACTAGCCAGTCTCCAGTTTTCGCTGTTGAGAGATAGTTGACATGAATATTCGTGCTGACACCTGTTGAATCGAGACCGGCCGATGCAATCGCTAACCCACCCGCCCAGTCAGTGACACAGGCTGAAAATACGCCATGTAAGGTACCCTTTGAATTCAAATGTTGAGGGCCGACTTGGAGTCTCGCATTGAATACACCTTTCCCAGCATCATAGATGTCAATGTCCTGAAGTAGAAAAGCATAAATTGGGCTGTTAGTGCGGATACGCTCCCACACTTTCTGAACTTGTTGTAGTTCAGCATTCATGTTGGAAGAGGCTGTCGCGTTTTGAAGTAAATCAAAGAATGTGCAGTCAAGAAAATTTCCGAAAGACGAAAAATTTTGCTTCTTTGCAAGGGCGGCATGCTAGCTTGATATAGCTGTTGACTAACAGACACTAGTAACATTGAGTACGTAATAACCCAGTCCCAAGCTAACTACGAATCAAAAGTGATGAGAAGCAAATTGTATTGTTAATACAATACAGACGTGCTGCAGTAAATGATGATTAATATCCCGGGAACTATCAGCGTCCTAGCCTCAGGTGTTAGACTGACTATTTAGTTGATGTGAAGCTTCAGTCAATCAGGTAAGAAACGAGGCACATCCTGCATTTACTCAACTCAAAGGGTTCTCTCTATTTATCTGCAGCGTGGTTATATCAAGAGACATATCATGTTACTCATGTAATTTTTCGCAAGTAACATATCAATTGTATCCGTTTCTGAGTTAAATTACTGACTCAGACATTATGTAATAGGCAACTAGAACATCCCTGGATACTTCGCTTGTGGCATACAAACTTAGCTGTAGTTCCTGAATTGTCTCTGACTTCCTTACATCCTGCCCATTCTTGCTTCACTCGCATCCACACCACCATTGTTGATTTGCCTACCCAGTTCAGCATACAACCACACAACCTCACTGGCTGACACAAAATGTCTCGACCTGGTACTACACTCTATGTCACCGGCTTCGGGCACGGGACCCGAGCTCGCGACCTTGCCTACGAATTCGAACGGTACGTGCCGCTCATCGATTGCTACGCGCTACCATGACTATACGACCCGTGTCCATTCTCGCAATTCACCTCGGCTGAGTCCCGCAAACCGACGTCGGTGCCGCTCTCTATATCATACTATGATAGAGATTTGCTTGTTTATCCGATTTCCTTGGAGAGGGGACTCCTTGAAGGGGGACCCTCCGAAAGAGTTTTCCTCTCACAGTTGCCTTGCACCATATATTTAATGATTGATATGTATGTGGAAATTCTTCTAACAATGACTTAGATATGGACGTCTTGTCCGCTGTGACATCCCAGCGCCGCGTACCCCTTCCAGCAGACTGTATGTTTAATCCAGGCTTCGAACCCTGAATGATACTTGCTCACGACATAAGGTTTGCCTTTGTGGAGTACGAGAGCCGCCGCGACGCAGATGATGCATACCATGAAATGCATAATAAGCGGATTGGCCGCGATGATCTGTTGAAAATTGAGGTGAGTAGAAGACTATGGAATCCATAACTTGGCTGACATGGTTAAAGTGGGCGCGTACTCCTCCATCTGCTTCTTGGCGTTTTGACTCTGGCCGGGACCGGCGACGTGACCGTACTCCGCCACGACGTGGCCGCTCTCCTTCTCCTAGACGTGGTCGTGGCGACTATTCTCCCCGAAGGGACGACAGGTACGAACGGGATTATGACCGACATGACCGCGACTATGACCGCCGCGATCGCGACTATGATCGCCGTGACCGGGATTATGATCGCCGCGACCGGGACCGTGAACGTTCCCGTGACCGCTCTCGAAGCCCTGATGAGAGGGACCGCGATATCAAGGATGAAAGGGAGCGCCGTGATGACGATCGTGAACGACGCGAGGACGAGCGGGAGAATATCCCCAATGGTGAAGACAGGAAAGGTATGCTCATTGATGCATGCACCCACTTCTAGTCGTGGCTGATCATTTGTCGCAGTCCCCTTAGAACCCTTGACCTCCGCTCATGATGAGCTTGATACAGCCGAGTAGGTTATTTTGGCTTCATGAACTATCAGATCTCGTACCATACACTTGGCCAAAGACCTCAATCTGTGCTGGATTGTTTTCAAGGCCCGAGGGGTATAACGTGAAGCTTAAGATGTCATCAGTGCACGTTGGTGATCGACCTGGATGTTTAATTCGCTCTGTCGCTGTTCAATACTGGCGCTATTTTCCTGACCCCTCCCCCGAGCTGCCGTTCCCCTCTTCCACCCCCCATGCACGTGCGCTCTTCTCTTCATTCCATTGCTCTCTTGTCTTGCTTTCCATTATTTTTCCTTTGCATTAATTCTTCCTATGTGCTTTCCTTTGCCATTTAATCCTTCTAAATTGCAGTGTTCATTAGCAGAGAGAGAACACGAAGGGGCCAACTCCTGGAAGTGCTGGCGCAAAGATACGAGGCATTGGGGCTTTGGTACTATTGCTTAACATTGGTATTTATCATGGTCAGCAGCTCGAATCATGACCGAACGAACGTCGAGCGGGCCTTTTTCTTGTTTATCGTATCGCCAGACTGTCTCGTCCTTTCGTCACGATCAACAGCGATCCGTTATCCGTCTTGAGCTCGCATTCTAATATAGTCGATGATCATTGACCTTTACCGTCTCGGAAGACCGGTCGACTTCGTGCATATCCTGCAACACCGCTTCGAAAACGATTTGTAACTCTGTAGTCTGTAGAATTGGTCGTCATGTTAGTTTGTGGGGAGAATACAAGGTAAGAGAAATCCGGAAGACATGAATGAAGTATTGACCTGCCGTATCACGAGTCTGGACTGAAGGCTACACTCTAGTCTATGTTTTCCTTGCACTTAGTGGAATGAATAGGACGACTTTGCAGTTGTAGAGTCAGAATTATCGGCTATCAAGGCAGTAGGAAGTATGGCATGTGGGAATGCCCACATTCGTACACAATTCTGTCTTACATACAGCCATTCCAAGACGGTGGGGATTGAAGCATCTTGTTATTGTCTGCGTCATGACTAGTACGTACATATACTTTGAAGACAGTAAGAATTCACAAAGGAGTAGATAGGAAAAAGCGCGGTGCACCGTTGGTGTACATCTTTACCGAGCCATCACTGCATCTTTTCGTACGTGGCCATCAGAGAGCCTAGTCATATGGTGTTAGTAGGATAGATGCTGCTCGCCACAGGCCAAAGCTTTTGGAACTTACCGATGAAAGTAGTCACCAGGCGAGAGCGCACTTGGCAAATATCTTCAGGTACCAACCAAATTGTGGCACCTAGCTTTCGCGCTATGCTGATGCTCAGCTTCGCGTTTGCGTAAGCCTCCTCGTCGTTCCGACCAGGCGTTACGAGATCGTAGTCGACATAGCTACTCTTCATGCCATTGAGCACGTCAAGGAGGAAAAGGCCTGAAGCGATCGACTGGTCCTTAAAGTTGCGTATCGATGAGGATCTGCCACCGCGGTGCGACATTTCGTTTGCCCATTTGATCATCTCCGAATCTGTTATCTCGCGCTTGCCCATACGTTTGGCTAGGCCCGAGAGTGTATTTGTGATATCCCGGCGCATTAGTTGCCAAACCAAACCAAGCGTGAGAGTTCGCTGACCATCAGTAATATCCGCTCCTTGTACACCTACCAAGGAAAATCCCACGTGTTTCCCAAGCTCAGTGGCGTAGTTAGTATTCTCAACTGCCTTGAAACGCATCATTTCTCCCCCGGAAGCCGGAGGCTTATTGACGTGTCTCCAGTTGACACTGCCAGGCATCACTTTGTCATATGCTTGCAGCAATACAGTCCCATCCCTAAGATCATCAAATAGAGAATTGACAGCGGGCTGTACGTCGAGAGAGTTGAGCCACAGGGTGAAAACTCTGGCTTCCCGCTCACCCTCAGCATCAAAATCTTCAACTTCGAGCTTCTCTTCTTCGGTGATTGGGTCGAGGCCTGGAATAGTGTTGAACAAATTCGCCACAAAAGCAAGGTTCAGTTTAGGGTTCCCTGCGACGAGCGAGGAGGGTGTCAGGAACTTCCGACAGCCTAGTTTGTCCGCATTCGTCAAGACTTGTTCTGCCCTCTGAAGAACATCCTGGGTCTGAAGAGGACTCCGCGAGCAGGTCTCTGGGGCCAATTGATTCAGAAGCACGGTGTAATTTTCACCATCCTTAACATCAGATGAGAAATTTGTCACCCTATAACAGAGTTAGTCGGCTGCATCTCTAGGATTGTAGGTTTGGTCGTAGTTTCACAGCTGGAAACCTCCTGCCTGGAGAGTGCAAGATACCTTCTGTTCCATTTTGCGTTCTTCAGATGATAATTGAACCAACGTAGAAGAATCTGCTCCGGTGGAAGGCGTAGGAACTGCTCCAAAGTTTCATCTTCTTCCAGGAGCCGGTACAGTTCAGGGTGCAATTTGATATCAATCTTGCCCAAAAGACCGCGGCGGATAATCTGCCAGATCAATCCCAGAATAAGGTGCTCACGCACTTCTATGATGTCGCCGCTTCCTATGTTCACAACAGAACAGCCAATACCCTTGGCTGAATTGATCACGATGTTGTTGTTTTCCGTCATATGGAATGCATTCAGTTCTTTGATCTTCTTCCCGGCTTTGTTCAGAACGCGCTCATCAATAGTGTCCGGGACACTATCATTGATCAACTTCGCCAACACCAAGCCGTCCTTACATTTATCGAACATTTCGAACGTGTCGGTGGGAAAGGGTAGGGAGTGACCAATGTCTGGATCACCAGCAAGAACAGCATTTATGTGCCTAGTAAATTCCGTTCTCTCATCCTCGTTAATCGTATGTGTCACATTCGCCGAGGAACCTTGGACATGAATCCTGCCTCCTATACTGCCTTTGGAGACATGTCGAGACGGGCCGGCTCCATTACCCGGAAGGACTGGTGCAGGAGCCGAAGCCGCCTGATTTTGCGTCGAGGCAAAGCGGAGTTTAGAAATAAGCTGTTGGGATTTGTCTTAGCGACCACAGTACAGAGGGACGACCAAAAGAGCACAGCGATAGTGGCATACTGACGTCCACATAATCTTCGAGCTCGACTCGGCGAGAGCTGTCGAGTTCAACTTCTTTCAAGGCCTGACGCACAACATCATAGGGCTTTCGTTCTGATTGTTGGGTGGCTTTAATAACGGTTGCCTCGTCTAAGGAGCCTTTATCATCAACATCCAGCTTTCGAAAAGCATCTTGGAGAGAGAAAATCTCCGATTGCTCGAACTGCGGATATTTTCTGCGCTGTAGAGTCAGTCGGCGCCGGGCAATATCTCGAATGGTGGGATTTCTATCGGAGCCATCGACTTGCCTTTGGAGTTTGATCACGTTCATCCTCAGGGGGGTTTGCTCAGGTACTTTCCAATACAGACTGGCAAGCTAAGAGCTTAGTGAGGAGGCGTCAATGGTATTACAATAGGGTTTGTGAGCGTATGAATATAGCAGTATAGAGGGGTCACCGATCTGATGATGTAATTCGAATCAAAGATGGGTACAAGAAGAAGTTGGCAGTCTTCACTCGGCACTATTATAATGGAGTAAGCACGGCGTACTTAGGCACCTAGGTACGTAGTTGCGCTATTTTCCTCTACCTACTAGGAAAGTGGGGAAATAAAGGTGGGGGTTGCGAATACGGAGTAGTACTGCTACGTACTGCTTTTGTAGTAACAGTACTTTGTAGTTAGTAGCCGACAGGTAAGGCTCGATCACCTTGTATGTTCAGATCTCTTCACTAGTTAGCAATATGAACACCTACAAATTTATTCCATGACATGGATGGATCTGAAGGTTGTAAGCCTGGTCATTCTACGGCTTATTTGCACCATCATGGTCATGGATGGATTGAAAAATAAATCGCGTGGCACCCGATGATCAGCACGGCCATACTCTCTGCTGTATTGTATGGTAATTACGGTCTTTGCGGTGGTCAGTACTAGTAAGTAGTAAGTAGTTACCAGTCCGTACGCAGTTTTATTCCTGCTAGGTCTATTGAGGTGATCCTAGGTCGAACATGGGGTAGCCTATCTTGTAGATATACAGTAGCGTAGCCCCTGACAGGATCTAAATGCAGTCCAGTCGGTCGATGTCTGCTTCATGGGTTTCCTCATTGCCACGCCGGCGACTTACTGTAAATGTCGGTTCCTTGCAACCCTGGAGCTCGGCTTTGCCAAGAATTCGGTGCAGCTTCACCTTATCTAGGCTCTGAGATGCTTAGTTGACCACGCACTAAAGACAGTAAAAGCACGAGGAGAACAACGGTGAATAGATCTATATCTTGTCAGCATACACCAATTTAGCGCTTTGATCCTCTGAAGTATCTTTGGTCTACCTTAACTATTGGCTATATCACCATCGCGCAGTCTAACTACGTGGCCTTCTTCTATGCTAACCGCCTTGTCACCATATTCAATAGCCATCGCATTTGCTCGCTATCAAACGCATTGGCTCGTGCTCCGTCATACCGGGCTCTTAAGAGCTTGATGTCAAAGGACAGTCAAAGGGGGACTTTCTTTGGGGCCTTTACTCCGGGTAAACCCCCTAGAAGTACGACCCCGCAGCCCGACAACGGTACGAAAGACCTCCTACAACGTTCTCGAGGAGAGGACCATACAGTGTCACATAGACATGGGTTGAGTCCGCGTCGCTATCCCAAAGACTGTCCCCCGCTTAAGGTTAGGTGGTTCTATGCTGTGGATTCGCCCAAATGGAAGCCCGGGCCCCGCGATCAAAAGGGTGACTCGAAACCTTTAGCGCCCCCGAAGAAGTTTGTCCCGTTCATTTCCAGAGACTCTGAAGCCGTCGAAGATGCATTTCAAGCACTTTTACAGTCTGATGTCGAGAACGAGCATGACTCATACAACAGGTCGGTAGGAGGTGCGTCGTCCGAGCCGACCAAGGTTCCTGTGAATGAAGACTCGCTTTTTGATGTTATTATTGAACAAAGGGAGCTTCGGCCGGCCTACTGGACAGGCCCCGTCTACGAAGTTCGTCGTGGAACTTGGTTTTTTCAAGACGGGTCGACAACAAAACCATGTGAAGAAAACTTGGCTACCCAGCTTGAAGAGGGTTATCTCAAGTCAAAGCCATGGCGGTATACAAGCCCTACCTACTCTGCTAAGTTTCCTGTGAGAACAAATGACAATGAAAAAGGTAATATTGAAATCATGTCTTCGCGAAGTTAGAGGCTTACTTTGCCTACAGTACCCGGGTCTTCCAATGAGTCCGAGAATTTGGGGCATACAACTCCTGTGGCTAGGAATGAACCTGAAACGTACCGTCTGTTTGGTGCTTATATGAATAGTATAGTGACTTATCAGGATTCTAAGACAGCGTTACTGGTGAACGACGATTTCATGTCCAGGGTGAGCACAACGGTCTATCAAAAGCTTGGTGGCATTCCAGGGACGAAGCTCGTACGTGGTTATAACGAAACGAACAAACAGAAAGAGGCAGAGGATAAGAGTGGCGTCGAAATGAAATCATCTGGGGAAGAATTACAAGAGGTCTTGCCTGGGGATACTCAAGAAAGGACAGTTTCACAGATGGGTGGACCATTTACGTCTCGTTACCAAACATCGGACGATGAAGGTATCTCGGTCGAGGAAAAACCGACTGTTGAGCAGCGTGTTTCAACAGATATGGCTGAGCTCGAAGAGCGAGCACGCAAGCAAGCACAAAGGGAAATGGAGGACTCCAGGAAGGTTGAGGATAAAGATCGGGGAATCGATCACCTAGTCTTGGTCACTCATGGAATCGGTCAGCGACTTGGCATGCGTCTAGAGAGTGTAAACTTCATACACGACATCAACGTTTTGCGCAAAACTCTAAAGAGTGTCTACAGAGCCTCTCCTGATCTTCAGGCTCTTAACTCTGATTTTCCGGACAAGCACGAAAACTGCC